CAGTTGCTACTCATAAAAGCAGAATGTGGAACATTGTCTTTGTGGACTATCAACTGACCATAATGTCCCCCAAAACTATGTCCGGAGCCATCAGGCCCAGCAACTCATTTCCTCAAGGCATTTGGTAATGTCTAAGTAATTTTTATAATTTTACTCCCTCTATGCTCCCCACATTCATTGACATATTTGCAGCCAAGGTAAACAATGGGATCAAGCGTAGCAGCAATTATGAGCATGGGGCAGGACTGAGTGCTGTTTTGTTCTGTTGTATATAGGACCAACCAATGGCACCCAACAACAAGGTAAATACACCTGTACAGATATTCTCTGTCAATCCTATATATATTTGTGGGCATATTCCCAATCTCTCTCCCACACCCCTTCAGCCTGTGTATCTATCCAAGTATCTACCTGTAGATCAATGTTACTGCAGAATTGTGTATGTAACAGCACTGACCTCTAACTTGCCTTTAACGCTTGCATGCCTCCTCAGGTTGTCCTCTCGAGTCTTCCCCTGTCTTCATCACTCTTCTACCAACTTAATTCCTTTTACCCGATAACTTTTTTTTCAAGTGCAAGTAGCTTATTTGGTGGTGTATTCGTTCTCAAAGGCTTCTGTAACAAATTACTACAAACTTGGTGGCTCAAAACAAACACACATGCATTCTCTTACAGTTGTAAAGATCTGAAGTCCAAAATCCATTTCACTGGACTTTAGTCTGACTTTATCATGCTCTTGATTGTTTTGTTTGAAATAAAACTATAAAAATTTGAATCTTCTATTACTTATTTTTATAGGCACTGTGATTAAATCAAGCTACAAATATTCATGTGTTCAGGATCTCATCTCACTTTTAAAAACTTTTTTGTGTGAATTGAGTGAAGGTTTACAGAGCAGATCATCAGTTTTACATTCAGCAAATCATACACTTCATTTCAGCTCGATTGCAACCCCCTGCTTATGACATCCATTACTTGTCCCACTTCTGCGACTCATTTCCATTCCTCTTTCTTTCCCAAAACTCTGAATTATGTTCTTTGATAAATGCTGCCTTTTGATCTCGAATGGTTGACCATTTTATTTTGTGCATTCCCTCACAATTGTTACTGTCCCTCCCCATAGACCTAGCTACTATTTGTCTGAAGGAGCTCTGGTAGTGTAGTGGATTATGAGCTAAGCTGCTAACCACAAGATCA